GATAATTTGTATAAAAGATTTGTGGCAAAGCAGTTTGAAATAAGTAAAATCTATTGAAGTTGTGAAAGTGTAAATATTCATTAGTTTAAATCTTATTTTGTAGATAGTTTATGATCACCTTTAGAACTCGAATTATGAGATCGCCATAACTACACAATAATTATGTAATGCCATGAAATTAGCACTTTTAATGTTCATTGTAACCTGTTGAATTTTATTTGAATTTTATAGTACGCTAAAGTTAGTTTAGTAATACTGGCCGAAAGGGGCAAACTGTAAACTAAACCTTGTGAAAAGCACAGGTAAGAATGCACATTGTAAAACATGCGTCAGTACGTTAAGGCAACATATTTTCTCGTTAATAGGAAACCCATTAACGTGGGTGTCGGTGTCGGTGTCGGTGTCGGTGTCGGCGTCTGGTTCGACGTCGGTGTTGGGAAAAGTGGAACCTTCTTTAACCGACTCTTGTTGGACGAGTCGACACGAGAAGATCTTTCCGTGTACGGTGGGCAGCATACGTATCGAGAAGCCAGCACGTTAGTGGCTGAAACACGAACATTCCACGCTCGACCGGAGACAACTCTACTCCTGGAATTCGCCTACCACCCACTTCCCTCCCCACTGGAAAATTCCTAGCTCGAATTAGTCAGCTAAGCAGAGTAATTCGAAGCTAGTCGAGACACCCACTATCCATCCTCGCTAAAGCGTTACGCTGTTGAGCTTCGAACACGTTTAAGGTTCAAGCCTCGGAAAGCGATACAACGGGAACATCGTTACATGCAGGTACTCGACGGACGCAATAAGAATGGTAACGTTACCACACAGGTTAGTGCACACCTGGTGTTAGGGGAAGAATTGTCCACCCTGAAAAAAATAATGAGCTCGAAGATAAATAGATCTAACACTTTTAAGCTAAAATTCGCTAGGACTTAATTCTTTATCGGTCGTATTAAATCTTTCCTTTACCATGAAAGGTATTGTTTTTACTTTCCACTAAGGGTAACTCAAGTAAGTCGGTTAACTTTTTAATTTACGTCGTGTTTGACTTGGTCCACGAATTGAATTTGAACTGGACTCTAGATTTCCGTACGTCGTAGAATTCGGTTTGGCAACAAAAAAAGTAACTCGCCTTGAGAATCAGAGTTTCAGATCGGGCATCCCTGAACCAAACATTCCTCAAACGGCCTCCAAAACGGAGTGGCGCTTAAGTCGTTTGTAGGCTAACATAGGTTAAACCAAATTTCAACGGCAGGGACTAAGACAATAAGTTTTTGAGAAAAGCAAGCGTTACAGTGTTTATTCAATCATCGCGTGTGGTGGAATGTTGCTATATTCGTAAATATCGAAAACGCAATTAGTGATGTAATTGTAATCCAGCTAATAACATAGGGAGCTATGCTGATGTTGTCTGGGGTGAGAGTAAATCGTTTTTTCGATGTAAATACTCTTAAAAAATTGAACACCTATTTATTCAATATCAAAAAAATCGAAAGAAAATATCGATTTTGTTCGATTTTTTCGTAGGCATCCGAAAAATCGAAAATTGGGATGCAAAATATCGATCTTCCGAAGATCGATCCAAGATCGCCCAATCCTAGTGATGGTAATCTCCAGTATACAACGAAAGGCTGGCAATAAGCAGCTAGCTAACAAGGCTGCCCTCAAGAGCCCTCGATTGCACCGCTACTGATCGGATTCAGTTGCTCGTCGTGAGCCGCTGTGGGTCATCTATGCCAAGCACGTCACCCTCGTTCCAAAGAACTTACCGCTTGCCAGCATGATCCGTGTTGAACATCCTAATAGCTCAGTATTACTCCAACCATCACGACAAAACCACCATAAATTATTGTTGTTTGAGAGTTAATTTTAATTGAACGTTCGCTTGCCTTGCTGTCAGCCACATCACCCCCAAAGCTCTTTGATCATGTACCCAGCAGTCAAACATTTGTGGTCAAATGCGTAACAGTGTTGAAGGGGTACTTAAAAATGCTCGCAATGACGGAATACGACCTTAGCTCAGTCGGTAAAGGCGCAGCTACAAAGCAAGACCATGCTGGAGGTGGCTGGGTTCAATTCCCGGTCCGGTCTAGGAATTTTTCGGGTTGGAAAATTTCTCGACTTCCCTGGGCATAGAAGTATGATTGGACTTGCCACACAATTATACCAATGCAAAAATGGTACAGGCATCGAAAGCTCTCAATTAATAACTGTGGAAGTGCATCTATAACACTAAGTTGAGAGCACGCAATAAGCTAATATGCGATATGCAATAAGCTTGAAATGCGAAGAAGAAGAAGAAGACGGAATACGACATGACCTTGTCAATTAACCAGAAACACTTCAAATTAAGGTAAGGTTTTCTCCAGAAGTCATAGAATAGCATAAACCAGGTAGCACAATGTCGTAGGTGGTACGAGCTCCAAACTGTTGTTAAGAAGGAGACCTACCCTTATCAGTTGCTGTTAGATAGTAATTTGTGATTAATTACTACCTCTTAGATAAAGGATGTGTCTCCCTCCAACAGACCAGAGCTGTCCTGGCCACGTCCTTGCATCTGGTGGGGAAAGGGGTGGAATGTTAGTCCGACACTTACTTAAGAGATATGCAGAGAACTCTACGACCCCTCATAAGTGTCACGGGAAGGGTGGATTTTTGTTAGTAGGGAGGGTAAGCCATAGGATACGCCCAGCCGGCGTTGCTGGCAATCGTTATATCAAGCATTTAATAAATAGAAGCTGTAAGTAGTTTATCTGTCCGTTGTTGCTGCCCATTACCTAAACATATTATTCAAAACAGTCTTCAGATTTTGGAATTAAGAAACGTTATCAGCTCGATCCTGTTGCTCCTTTGCGCCTGAAAATGTTTGTTGGTCCTAAACATATGCACAATTCATTCTGATCGATAGGATGTTCTCATGTGTAAAAGCTTATTAATAGTATGTGGAATCGTAGATTAGAATGAAGATTCGCCCTTGGCCTAACTCCCATTGTCTGGCAGTGGTATTATGGATAAAATCTGCCTGCAATCATTTCTTATGAATGCAAAGAAGCTTGAACCCGGGAGTTAAAAGTTGACAGCTCTACCGCAGCTACAATAGCCCATTTCAAGAACGCAAGCATTCCGAAGCTATGTTCACCCATGATAAGCCCCGCTCCAATACATTATCGATGCAAATATACACCATAGATTATGTACTGAAACTTTCAATCAAACAGTAGTGCAATACTTGATTGACGCGTATTTAGTAAGTTTTGAAATGATCGTCTTGAATTAGATGGATATTTCCTATCGAGGACAGAGGAACGAAAAGGTAAATAAACTTAGCTGAGCGTAACTGAAATTTTTCTCTTAATGCACTTTTCAACATCACTTCTGTACTTTCAAATTAACACTTTTTAAAAATGAAATTGTAAATTTATAACATTTTCACTAGAACAAAAACGACGCAGCAAAGCAAAAACATGTCATTTCCAGGTAAGGTTTTCTACAGAAGGCTACAAAAAATCAAAAAAATCTCGAATTTAAATATCTTACGATTCGAAAATTTTAGCAAGAAATTCCTTCAATCAATTTTTTCTCTTTATATTAATTATTGAATTTTCGTGCTCGAAAATGCGTAATTATGTCATCAGAAAACGAGGCGTTTCCGTGATGGGAAAAAGTGGTTTCCCTAACAAAATCGCCGAATATTGATACCGAGCACGTTATCCTTCGTCAATTCTACGGTTGCGTCTTGGATACAACCTCTTACTTTTTTTCAGTAATCATCTGGCTGTAGAACTTTGACATCTGTGGTAGAACTCTACAATAGCCACCGGACGGGAATTTTTCTTAAGACTCACATACATGATCATATGCACTGGGCATGTTCTAAGTACTTCCTGACCAAAATTAGTCATGAGTCAAAACTTATTTCTCATCCCTAAATGCGGGCTTAAGTATTTTTTTTTTGACGTAGGACTACGTCTGTGATTTCTATATAGGGGTACACTTTGTGAAAACTGAAAATGGAACATGTAACAAAATTATGAAAGATTTTGAACGTTAATAACTCAGCTTCCCCTGAACCAATTTAAATAATTTTAACACCAATCGATCAGAAATATTTTTACGCATCTGTGAAATTTAAGACTTTATCATTTTTCAAAATGTCATATGATAATTAAAATTATCACCGATTACCTGCGAAAAGCGATTTCCCTAACACAGATTTCAAAGTTGAATTCCATCCAGTTTCACCAAACGGTGTTTATTCGTGCTAAATACTAAAGAGTATAAACAGAGAGTACCCCGCTCAAATTCCTATTCCCACACAAAACACAAGCTCCTACTGCAGTTAACAAATAAGATTTATTATATAAGACCTCGTAGTGCTGCGTCACCACTGCTTACAACCCCATAGGGCGGTCCCTTGTAGTTTTTTCATGAGTTTAAATAATGAAGAAGGATATAATCTCACCATCGGTGGCTTAATTCAGTTTTTACATATTTAATAACATTCGTCAACTCAAATTGAATATGATCAAAGATGTAAAACAATATCCAATTATAATAATTCGCTTGGAACACAACTAGTTTTGAACAGTTTAACAAATGAATAATATCAGTTTAGGAATTTTTTCAACTAAATTTAACAACTTTTTTGTAGAATCGTAAATTGCGTAAAATTTAATAACTCTTCTACTTGCAGCTATTTCCAACGCACATGACTTAAACTTGACCTCCCACGGATAAGAACAAACCGACCACCGCCAGTCGTCCGCAGCACTTGGAAAGCACGCCGGCCCGGATGCCGGCTCCTCGTCGTCACTAGCCGGACAACCAACGCACCGTCGCCGGTTGCCGAGGGACCGGCCTTTCATGATCGCTGTAACAAAAAATAGAACACTCACGTTTCTCCGACGATGATGGACACATGCCGATGACATGTCACACACGGGTTGTTGACAAATTTTCACCACATTATCTCGTAAAAATAGAAGCATGGACAAATCGCTTACCCTGGGTCGTTTGGCACTTCAGCCTGATTGCCGGCTTGGTGCGCTCCGAGATCCTGGCTTTGGTGCTCCATCTTCCACAGCTTGATTGCTTGTTCCAACGGTGCGTAAATGCTTCTGGATTTTTTCTTCTTCTCGATAGCTCTCTGGGCTACTTGCTAACCACGCTTTGCGTTATCACAAAATCTTCCAATTCGGGAACACGACACTCGAAGACTATTTCAAATACGCTTCTTTTTTCCTTTTCTTCCTTTCTCGCAAAGATCACAGCACTTGGATTTCGACTTTATTGACTCAACTTGGCTTCTTCTTCAGAAGACTTAAGGATTTTCTTTTACTATTACAACTATTGCTTCAACTTTTGGTCGATCACAGACACGATGCTGCTAGTGCTTCGCTTCTCAACAACACGATGCCACGTGATTGGTGATCTTCGGTGGAAATTCGGGAAATCGGGTTCTTCTCAGACACTTCTCCGATCAATACTTTGTGTTGATGCAGCGGAAACTTGCAGAATATAGCTATCGGCTATCACTCAGATATCGAACTGACTACGACGAACGCGGTGTTTGTTTACACAAAATTTTCCTTATCGGTAGATACGATGTGGCGTTTTCCAAGATGTTGTACACGGATACTAACTTGTAGAACAACACGATTATACACGGAACACGATCTAACACTGAACTCTACAATCAACGTGGTAATAAGTGGTATGGTTCTGATTTTTCCCCAAAAATGTGGTGTTTGCTTATACTTGGCTACTCGCTGCGGTAAATCCGATCAAAACCCATAAACTATCAATTAACTACTAATGGTTTATTTATACTTGTTTGAATATTTATTTATAGAATATTATTCGCTGTTGGGAGTGATAGCGTTCAATTTTGAATGAACTTCCGTCGATTCAATTATAGCCGCACACTTGAACTGCGTTGTGTTGCGTAGCGCTTCGCTTTCCGTCGGCCGGCGTTTGGCGTCGTCCAAAAAGATCACCACCAAAAACGGGATTCGCACTTTGGGGTCTCGCGGGGGGTTGAGGAGGGAATTTCTGGAGGTTATCTCAGCTCAGTTCCGATTGGCTGTTTTTCGAAATATTTCTGCTGCGGCTGCTTCTGGTGCCAGTGACGAATTCAACGACGAACTCAACTCGACGGCGGCGGCTTTGTATGCACTTCGGTATTGAACCACGGCGCGTAATGACTCGGAAAGATGTGTAAAATTTGAATCTGTATCAGAGGGGGATGATCTGTGTGCTGCTCTAAAGCTGGCGGGTGTCTGTATTGTTGGAAAGTGTCAAATGTTGTTGTTTCTCTGGTGATGCAACTACCAAACTACAGTATACTAAGCTGGTGTGTGGTGTCGGTAAACGAAACACGAACAGTGGCCGCACTTTTTTTTCCACACAGACTGATGTTCGAACTACTTCCGAGAGTCTGAGACGCGGTCAGCAGCTTCAACGGCACTCCGAGACCGGCTTCTACTGGGTAGCTAAATCGAACTTGAATCGAAGTCGAAGGTGACGTTTCGGAGCTTCGCCAAACCGGGCTTGCAACCACTCGACAAAACGACCGCAAAATCGAGACAAAATGGGATCCCGGGGGTTTATCCGCCGATGGATTCTGATACCCTCTAACGACTTCCGACGTGTACTTTTCGATGAGACACTGAGATTTGTGGTGTGTTAGCTTCTGCTATTTGCTGTTGCTGCTGCTGAGCTGCTTCCTGCGGCTGATGCTTCTGGCTGCTACGGCTACTAACTAACTGGTCCTGCTCGGTCGCACTCCGGCTCGTCGATGCAGACAGCAGCGCCGTATTGGTTCCACTCACTCTCTAGAGCAGCTATCCAGAGTCAAAGAGAGCGACAACGCGACATGCGATGGTGGTAGTAGCATGTAGTAGTAGGTGGCAAACGCTTCTGGCGATCACGTGTGGCTACCACTCACTCGGCGCAAAAGTCTCTCACGAAGAAAATCACAGAGAAAAAGAGAGAAACCCCCCAACCAAAACACGCAACACTCGCTCTCTCTGTCGCGTGGGATTTGCTTGTGTGCGACGAACGATGGTGGTGGCATGCAGTTTTAGCTGCATTCCCACCATCAACCACCCACCATCACCGGGAGGGGGCGTGGCACTCACTCTCAAACTACCCTTCCGGCCTGTTTCTGTGACATTTCGAAACGCAATGGAGAAGCGCTCAATTGTCAGTCGCTGGTGCCGTCGCGACGCTCACTATTGAAACGATGGCACGGTGAGTGATCGCGTGGCTTGTTGTGCCAGGAAAACGGAACATACCGATGCAGAAAAACGGGGTAGCTGCGAGGGTGGTGCCAGAAGTGGATTGTGAAGTTTTATTATTGTTTATAAAGGACTGCTCAGCAAAATAGCTGGATGTCACCTTCAGCCTGGAATTCTTTGTGCAAAGAGGATTAGGGCTTTGCCGGTTTGCTCACATAGGGGAATTGGCTCTAATGTTGACCTATGGATCTAAGATTGGGCCCATCGCTAAAAATCTACTATTCATCAATTGTATCTAGATGAACGCGTCATTGAGACGGTACTAATTGATATTTTTGATCGCTATTTAAAATTTAGTCGATTCCTGAATTTATGTATGGGTAGGACTACCATAAAAAAAAAAACTTGAAAAGGAGGACATTTCATTTAAGGTTTGGAGATAAAGGAGAACAAAGTTTCCTTTTCTTAACATTAAAGGAGGACAATGAGTTTTTATCAAACGTTTTAATAATATGTGCGCTATCACTAAATTAATGAGTTTTAAAAGTTCAATTGAGATAGTTCATAACTTGTAGTCGTTATCAATTCAATCCATCTTCTCATTATACTTCTGAAAAATGCATCAAACTAGCCTTCATAATTTATTTTTAATGCTAGAAAATGATGTAGTATAGCTGTTTTGCATGAAAACTACAGTTTTACAGCCTTAAAATCATCCCAACTTTTATCATGTGCTAAAATAAGGATACATGTCATCGCTGATTGAAAGCAACATGAAAAAGGGACATCTAAGCAACCTGTTAATGTTCCCATTGATTCAGCATAGGACTCTAAACCTATACCTAAAATCCCATAGAACCAGAACGTCAAAATCGAACATATGTTGGATTCGATGTAAGGCTGTGTTCCATTTGGTGAATTTTCACTTACATTTTAAAAATGGGAAATTTTCAAATAGCCCTGGTATTGCATCAGACTTCTTTCTGACAGACAAGCAATCAATTTTGACAAACTCATGCTCGTAAATCGGCCAATCAACATGAGAGGGATTTTCAAACATTTTAATATATTTTAGAGATTTCAATATTAGATGAAAATTCCCCAATTGGAACACAGTCTAAGGCTCTAACACCCCTATCAGGTAGAGGACATTTTCCCATATTTGATGGCAGTGTTAGCATGCGTGGGCGAGCTACCAGTTACGCCAAATCGACAATCAAATGCATTGTTTACAAAAGCTGATACGTCCCTTCGAAAACGTAATCGAGATTTGTTGGATTTTCACTTAAATTTGGCACATCGAAAATAAATTATAATGTTAGAATTTCTCTCTGTTGTTGATCATTAGAGTTTCGAGGAGTTGTTTGTCAAAATTGATCCCTGGTCTGTTAGAAAAAAAGTCTGGTAGAATAGTAAGTTTATTTTAAAATTTTCCATCTGTCAAATTTAAATGAAAATTCACCAAATCCTTTCCTTTATTTAACGTCGGTCCATCCATTGACGACAATCGAATGTGCAGGAAGGCAGCTTCCACACCTGCGTAGGATATCGCACCCATTCACAACACACATGGGCCGGGACCAACGGCTTTACTTCCCTTCCGAAGGAAGACGTGACCAGAGATTTTTATGCCTCAGAAAAATCCCACCGACCTCGACTGGGATTGAACCCAGGCCCATTGGGGTGTTAGAAAGCAGTCACGCTTACCACTGCACCACCGGCGCCGGCTCGAAATTCACCAAATGAACCACAGCCCAAATGTAGGGGGTTGACAGCTGTAGTATATTCCTGATACAAGGGGTTGGCCATTCCGTACAGTGTGCCAAAAATACAGACGGACACACCTGGGCACTTTCATTGGCACCCATGGTGAGACATTTTCATGATATTTAAAGTTACTTGCAACACTGTACTATATCTGCGCCTGCTCTGTGTATGTGTCAAAATGATAATAATTGTTGTTGACACAATCCGATTTTTGATTTCATAACTTCAACCGTGAAGTTGCCGATCACAGCGGACATATTGTAAAAACATTAGGATGAGCGTGGTCATCAAAGCGATGACCTTTGCCAAGTACAACAGTAATCTGGGGGTCTTACTGGAATTCTTTTGGATGGTGCTGGGGTCGCTAACGGAAGGCTTCGATATCGGAGAACCTCCACTCAAGACGATCGAACTGTTCGAGGATCTGGTGCGGAAGGCTTTGGTGTTTCAGAACAGTTTGATCGAATTTGGGAAGGAGGTGGCATCGTTCCGGAAGCTGATTGAAAAGATGACCATGAAGGCACTGCTACTGGTCATAATGCAGATTCAGAATGTGATTAGTTAGTTGGTTAGTAGGGAGAGCGAAACCTTGAAGGAGGAAGTGAAAGAAACGTTGAAGATGTTGGTACTGTTGGTAGATCGATTTGTGGCGGGGAGATTTGTGACGGAGCTGAAATCACAGCCGAAGAAGGTTAAGTGGAATTGTAAAATGTTGATTGGTCAGTTGTTGGGCTTGAAGGTGAGCTCCTGAAAGTTGACATCGGTGAGTTGGTTGAAGGATAGGTTTAGCTCTTACACACGACCCTGGTGGCTTGAAATAGAATATTTAGGCTTGGTGGAAAAGAAGTCCCGGCGAAGTGTAAAGAGACTGGTGTTTTCCATGGTGCCAGCGGTTCGGGGAGCATTTCAACAACGCGATGTTTGCAATCATCCTCATAGCACTGATCCGAACGCAGCTTTTCGAGCTCTATGAGGTACGAATTGATTATGGAATCCGAGCCTCACAGAAGGTCGTAAGGACAACAAAGACCACCATCTGGTTGTAGTAGTTTTATCAGTGGTCGTTTAGCATGTTTGATTCCGTAAGGCTTCACCACTTCGTTGATCAGCCCGAGGATCAGCCAACCAACATTCAGTTCCATGATTCGTTCCTCATCGCAACTGCCATAGGTAGATGTATTCGCCTTCGATGATCACCGGTGTTTGCTTTTCTACCATCGACAGCACCCCAGCTTTTACAGGTGTTCTCTGGCCGGCACTGTTTTTCGCCAGAGACATCATACTTTCCTTTATTTGTCCGATCGTTGGATATCTAACCGTGTGGAAATATTAAACCCCACCTCCACCAGGGAAGTCTGATTTTGGTTGAAACTCCCACTAGAACGCTGGCGACTCATTTTTGATTGACTCGATGGCTTTCGGGAGAAACTCCTCCCGGAAGCGTTCATAAGAATCTGAAGAGCATCTGGACCAGTTTCCTCTGATGATGCACGCTCGCTACGTGTACTTACCAGCGTCACCTGTGGTTCATCCGAGTCCTCATCATACTCCAGTCCAGTAGAAGTTATTGTCCTGTCGGAAATTGGAAGTGCCTCCCCCGGAGAACATTATCGCTCCAAGCTTGGATTCGGTGGCTGAGGCCGTTGGTTATTAGGTGTAGTCCTTTTACGATAGAATTTGGGAGCAACGAATCGAGAGTGACTCGACGACAGTTAGAGTTAACCGGGTTGCCAAACATACCACAAACAAAAAAATCAATCTGATGACACTCTCGGCACTGCCGGCACTGCTGCGGCAGACGTGAGGCACACTGAGAAAAAAGTTGGTGCAAAATGCGTGTGTAGAGTGACCACCCCTTGTCCTGATCCCACTATCGAATGGCATTTGCTGTTTTTCAGATGAGGTTACGACTTAATTAAACAAATATGCTCTGCCAACAACGCTCTTTGAAAACAATTGTATGAATGTAGAATGTAGAATGTAGAAAAATTGTTGAAAAAGTAGGACATGTCCTCCTTTAGGATACCATATGGTAACCCTATGTATGGGCCCAAATTAGGGGCGTTTAGGCCGACATTACATTCGTTTCCCCTATTTTGTTTTAGCAAAGACGAATTTCACGCTAACTCGACAAATGGTTGGCGGCACCCTCTCAGATGTCAATGAAACTTTGTAAGTGTATAGATTTCGTCTACTTAAGCAACTTTGCATACTTATTTTCTTTGAAAAAAAATCTAGACCAACATTTGGAAAGGGCAGAACATTTTTGTCATAATTTTCTTCAAAAAATTATAACTCAATAATGTCAAGTCCTACAAAAATGTTGCCAAAAGATGATTTGTAGAGAAGTAAATGAGCTTTTGTAAGAAAAAAAATAAAGTCTTTTTTCTACACTGAAAAAAATAATTTTTAAAACTTAAAAATGAAATTTCTCAAAAACACAATTTTTTTTTAATACGCAACTTTTTCTAAAGATAGACATACCATTTATCTACAACTCGTTCATACATGCCAAGATGGGTACTTTTAAAGGAAAAAAGTTATTCAACAAAAACTTTTTCGTGTTCGCACTGAATAAAATCTATGATTTTTTTTCAGGGTGGGAACGACAAATTTAAAAATTTTGAAAGACGTGTTTCACGTCTACCACTAAATAAGATTGAGTTAAACTCCAAATGAAAAATAAAATGATCTTTTATAAAGCTTTTGAATATTAAGGAAGGGTCAACTAGTTTCGGAGATATGGACGGAACATGTTATGGTAAATATGGGT